CGAGAGAGTGTGTTGCTTCAGGAGGAACAGGCGTGAGTTGCTGATTTTGTCGAGGGTTTGATCACTGAAGATCTTCACCAGGGGATTGTGGTCAGTAATTATGACCAGATTGTCACAGCCTTGAGTACTTAAGTAATGGGTCTGCTCGAGGCCCCATGCGACGGCCAGGGCTTCACCTTCGATTGCCGCGTAGCGTTGCTCTGCGGAGGACAGGAAACGGGAGCCAGCAACTGTGATCCTCCATCCGTCGGGACAGCAGTCAGGGATGCCAGACGAGCAGGTGCAGTGCTGCTGGAGGAGGAAATAGCCGATTCCGTGCTTGGACCAATCAGGGCAGAGATATGTTTGCCTCTGCATGTCGAAGATCTTGACGCCTTGGTGGATAGCTTTGACTAGACATCCCAGGCGTCATTGACCGTCTTCCGTGTGTCCTTCTGGGTACATTGTGCGAGTTGGAAGGGTGGCTCCATGGCGAACATCTCCCATTGGCAGTACTTGTTAAATGGGGAGAGATCCACAGTGCGGCAAGGGGAGCCGTCATGTTTCCTTGTAATGAACATCCTGTGGCACCGTGTCATGGGTTCGCCATATGGTACTCGCTCAATGACACTTATGGCCTCGTCGCACAGGTGACCTCATAGACACGTTGCTGCCAGAAAAGTGGTACGTCAGCAGGGGTGTGGCAGGCACGGGGTGTGGCGGCTGGATCCACATGGATCTCGATGGGTGGTCTTTCCATGCAGGGTAATGCTTGGTGGGGCATGCGTTAAATGCTGATGAGCCATATCTCTCAAGTAGCCATGTTTTCATCCTCTAGTTATTTTCGGGTGGGACATGGCGGGGCAGCCTCACGTTAAGGGCAAGAGCAGGTTATATCGTGTGCGTTGTTAGTAGTGGTGCAGCCATTGTTGAGTGATCGATTGCTGTTGTTGGAGGGTGTGGCTTAGTTAACGTGCGATTGGTCACTGGTGGGCTCTGGCTCATCGTCAATGGAAGGAAAGGTGGTAGACAGGAATCCGAGATTCAGCAGTGAGTCATACGACAGGTATAGGGTCTGGACTGTGCTGCTGACGTACACCATACTATGGCAGGATGTCATCTTTCCACTGCGTGATTTTGTTTCGAGCTTCGCAAAGAATGCTCCTTCGATTGGGATGGTGGAGCGGTTTGCAGCTGACCAGCTAAGGCTGATAGGGTGAAGGTTCTCTAGCAGAAATCCGCTTGCTAGGTAGTCAGCCAGCTACCAGGCGTTTGACTGCACACTGGTGTCTGCGACAGCTGATGCCTCTGCCTTGACACCAGGAGAAGTAGCAATTCTGCTGTGGGTGGTGTGGTGTGCAAGGGAGATGATAACAGCGACTTGAGGGTGATCCCAGAGGCGGGCCTGTTTCCATTCGCCTTTGGTGAAGATATGGTGGGACAGTTTCACCGATTGTTGTCTAGGGGCATTGCCTGCATGTGTGGTCGGTGTGCGTCTGCGACAGCGGTGCCTGCGACTGCGAGGGGTCCGATGAGGCTCAGGGCATTCTGCCTGGAACACTGAGACCTATGATATCAGGTCAGTCTGGATGAGGGTAGGGCATTGCGGGCCATCTCTTTATTTTTTATAACACTGATGACTTCATTGATGGGACGCTGTAGGATGTCGCTGTCGTAAGGACCATTTAGGACGACATTGTGGATGGCGTGGACGGTGCGTAGTCCGCTGACTGTCCGCAGGCCCACTTTGTTGCGAAGGCACATGTCTCCGCTTTTCCTCTTACTTTGGTTGCGAAAGCTCCGGCTGGCTTATCACGCTCTTGTCTGATTTGCAAGAGCTCGGTGCGGAGCACACACGTGGCAACGGGGATGACTGACAGGGAATGCATGGCGGCCATCAGTGTACATGTAGGCAGGGGTTCTCATGCAGCGTTGTGGTTTGTCTTCAGGAGGCTGTCTCTAAGCTCGGCTCCTGCACATTGGAATAATTGGAACGGTGCTGACGCCTCGTCGATTCCTGATCCCCATTTAAACATGTCCCATCTTTGTGTGAACTTGTTCCATTCCTCGATTGACATTCCTAGTTTCACCTTCGGCCATTCGAGTTTCGGTCCTCGAATTACTGCTGGGACATCGTGGTTCGTTGACGTCTGGTGGGCTAGTTCGTGGTTAGCCAAGAGTGTAATAGCAAGCGTCTCCAAAATATTATCTGTTGTGAATTCACAATGTGGAACGGAGCACGTAACGATGACCATCTTGAATTGTTAAATTGAAAAAAGTTATTACATTTTGTGGCGTAACATCTCGTAATTTGAATGTAGTCTAACCAGTTTTTTCCCCCAGACGATTCTCTATTCTGTTCTGTTCGGTTCTACTGTTTCGTTTACGTCCATTCAGTAAACATTGATTTTGAAATGCGTTATTGAAGTTATTACATTTTGCGTCAAAAGTTAATACACTTTGCGTTAGAGCAGTTATTACATTGCGTCAAAAGTTATTACATTAAGCGTTAGAGCAGTTATTACATCTTGCGTCAAAAATTATTACATTTTGCGTTGTTATTACATTTTGCGTCAAAAGTTATTACATTTTGCGTTATTACATTTTGTGCGAGTTGTTACATTTTGTGGCGTAACATGTACCTCAAGGATGATTTTCAATCTATATGTGTCGGACCTTCCAGATCATCTATCCTCCTCGGTGAAGTATTTCCAGTACGCTGACGATACTACGATGTACACCAGTTGCCGTCCTGTTTTACTCCACGAATCTGCCGATGAGCTGAACGCCGCACTCAGTGCTGTGAGCTCCTGGTCTGATGACTCTTATCTCGCATTAAATCCAACTAAAACGAAGGCCATGTGGCTGTCTACAAGCCAGATGTCCCATGTAAATAGCTTAGATAGGAAACGCCCAGTAGCCATAGTCTCGGATAATATTTTAGAATATGTAAGTGTAAGTAAGCTTTTGGGAGTTCATTTCCACGAACATCTCAAATGGGATGAACACGTACGTGCTGTTAGCAAGAGTTGCTATGGAACAATTAGGAACTTAAGAATTAGGAAATTAAGAACTTTGCAGACTTTCGTTTAAGGAAGCATTTAGCTGAATCCCTTGTACAAAGCTTGACTATTGCGACAGTGTTTTCTAACCATTACCAGATTTCTATCTGAAGCGACTGCAGAGAGTTCAGATTGCCGCTGCAAGTTTTGTAAAGGGACACTATGTATCAGATGTAACAGACATCTACAAGTTAAAGTGGCTCCGAATTAAACAACGCCGGGAATTGCATCTTCTTAAGCTCGTCCACGAAGCACTCTACCAGAAAAGCTGGCCTTAATATCTCTCACTCGAAAAAATAACTAACACAAGAACTTTAAGGTCCAGTGAAGAAATTAGACTTAACCGCTACCTTCCACGTTTGGAACGCTGGTGCATAAACGTGTTTTATCCAATTGCAAATTTTTTTGGACATAAGTCACATAAAGATTGAATTAATATACTATTTATATACTACATGCCTCCATTTGTAGGGATTTTTGAAAAAATCTATCTACCTAATTATGAGATATTTGAGATTATATAAATACAGTGCATAATCTACTTCAAAACTAAACATTGGATTTGATACGGCCGAAATTAATATTTAAGAGCTATATATTCACAAAAGTCATTGCTCTATATTTATATAATCTCAAATATCTCATAATTAGGTAGATAGATTTTTTCAAAAATCCCTACGAATGGAGACATGTAGTACATAATTATGTGGTACGAAGCATTTTAGTGTTGAACGCTCTGCAAGGCTAAAATTGTTCTCTAAACGAAAACAAATATTTCATCATAATCACGTGTTATGACGTCCGATCTCATTAAAAACTGCATCAAACATTAATTCAATCGTCATGTGACTTATGTGCAAAAAAGATTTGCAATCGGATAAAACACGTTTATGCACCAGCGTTTCAAACGTGGAAGGTAGCGGTCAAGCGTGAGGGGGTCCAGCCACCTTAATAAACCATTATTATTATTATTATTATTATTATTGCTGCTGCTGT